CCCCAGAGGGAGACCACAGCTGCGATACAAGGATATCTGCAAGCGGGATCTGAAGGCCTTGGAAATGGACCACAACAGATGGGAAACCCTGACATCTGAGCATTCAGCCTGGAGGCAGCCGTTGCATCACGGCCTCTCCCAATTTGAAGATACCCTTGTCCAGCAGGCCAAAGCAGAGACAGTCACAAAAGCAGCAAAATCGGAGAGCTAGATGGGGTACAGATTGTATTTGTCTTCAGTTTGGAAGGGATTGTCACTCTCGAATTGGCCTTCTCAGCCACACTAGACACTGTTCCAAGTCCTCCATACAGAGCACAATATCATAGTCTCTTGAGATTAAAGGATGCCTAATCTAAGTGCTCAAGAGCGAATACCAAGGAACCTAAGGGATGCACAGAATAGCAACTGCTATTGGAAATAAAATAATTAATTAATAAAATAATTAAGTGGGGTTCTTTATAACAGCAATTTTGTGCTGTCAATTAGGTTCCACTTTATGGCAACCTTTCCATGGTTTTCTAGGTACAGACTATTGAGAAGTGGTTTACCACTCCCTTCTGTGGGTGCACTCCAACTGTGTAGCTAGCCCAGGGCTACACAGGCTGGTTGTTCTACTGGAGGAATAACATGAAGTCATACAGTTGAAGCCTATGTATACAATGTGTATGTATGTGTGTGGGTGGGTGGGTGGAAGGGTCTGCAAGAGCTCCCTCTACTATCCAGTTGGTTAGGCTTCTTTGAGGTATACACAAACATTTCATGATGCCAAATACACCTAAAATATTGGCAATTATTTTCTGCAGCCAAGGAATATTTGTTGATGGGTGTTTAGTTCTAACTAGACTTTAGGACAGCAGGACAAGAGTATCCATTAATTACAGTGTATGGCTCTATTTTAAATTGTATGGAATGTGTTCTGATCATTTAGCCCACTTTATTCAAGGAGTGGTTGGATTGTACAAGCTTATTATAATTATGACATAGAATTAGATAATCTGATAAGAAAACTAGGTTATTTTTTTCCCCTAGATGTGAGAGATGCAACATGTTACTCTTCTTTAGCAATGGCTGTCCCTCATAGAGTAAACACAGGAGAATGTGTTTATAGTTGTTCTGGTTCTGTCTTAGAAATGCACAGATTGTATTTAGTCATATTGTAGTAAACTGTAAATTTTACATGCTCTCTTATAAATAACACTCACTCTGAAAAGAAAGCTAGCACAGCAGAGACTAGAGTGTTCCCCTGCAAATGTGTGGGAATTTCTCAGACGATATTCCCCTTCTCCAGTCTAAAGAGGCAAGTCAGAATTCTGCCACCTCATTCTTCTGCATGTATAGACACGACTTGAAAGAAGGTCTAGAACTTCTTTGGTTTTATATTTGGTGAAGAAAGGAAGCTTTTGTAGATCAAACACACGTGAGGTTGATTGCTGACTCAGCTTTACTGCACATGAATTTGTATAAAATAAAGAATATGGACAGTACAGAGTTGGTAGAAGAGCTGACTCTGTGAGCTATGAGTATATGGAAGATGGAAAGATTACAGAAAGGTGGGTGATTTGACAAATGTAGAGGAAGGGGACAATTTTTCTGAATCTGTCTTGCAAATGTATATACTATATTTTTTGATGTTTCTCTAAAGTCTTTTCATGTAGGCCCCTCCCAACTCCACTAGTCTATAATTTCATGATTCTATGTTCCAGTATATATACCAAACTGTTCATTTCCAGTTCTGGTCACAGTTACAGAAAAAGACCCCAGGTTCCTCAGGGACTCTAGCCAGAAAGGTTACTCAAGAAATATTTATCATTAAAACAAAGACTATAAAGGACTACAACTGGCTCTTTTCATGTAGGCCCCTCCCAACTCCACTAGTCTATAATTTCATGATTCTATGTTCCAGTATATATACCAAACTGTTCATTTCCAGTTCTGGTCACAGTTACAGAAAAAGACCCCAGGTTCCTCAGGGACTCTAGCCAGAAAGGTTACTCAAGAAATATTTATCATTAAAACAAAGACTATAAAGGACTACAACTGGCCTCATTTCAGGGTTTTCAGCGTAGAGAGTACGCAGAAGTGGTTTTACTATTCTCTTTTTCTGGAGGTATCCTAGGACTGTGCAGCTTGCTCAAGGCCACACAAATTGGCTCTTCTGGGATGCACAGTGGGGAACTGATCTCTCAGTCTCTGGCTCTGCAGCCAGATTTATAACTCACTGAACTATCCAACCAAAAATAGATTACAACAGATTATAATACTAAATATGGACACATTAAAAACTGGGGACAGCAGAAGTAGATTCAAGAGAGGGTAGCTTTACATTTAAGATAATTCAAATGCTAGGCAGAACAAGAATGTTTTAATAGCCCTCCTAACACTCCCACAGAGAGAGCTGCACAATTGGATGCTGCCCTGTCTTTCCACTCTTGATTGGTGATGGTCACCAACTACAGAACTGGGAAGATAAATCTTTAGTGATGGTCATGTTCATATACACAGAGGAAAAACATCTTGTGAGATATTTCAGACCCAAACAATTTTTACACTCCAAGTGAGCACCAGCATCTTGAAGTGTAGCTGGAACCAAACGGGAATCTAGCCCAGTTTATATGGGACTGGAACCAGATGGTCAGCAATGCTGTGGAGTCCCAGAACAAAGACAGGAGGCGTTTCTAGGAGTGCCGTCGCTCCTCGCGGTTAATAGGGAGACCCAGACCACCCCACCACCCTCTCCTCCTAAGAAAGAACCAGAAGTACAGACACCCAGGAGTTGGAGGAAATCACCCGGAGTGAAGGGTGGAAACATCAGGGGGTAGACACATGGGATCTGGTGTTGGAGAAGAGAGGGTTAAATGCAGCTACCCAGACAGACTGGGAAAGGGTGGGAAAGGAACAACAGTCGTGGTGGAGGCGGGAGCAGGGGATATAAAAGTAGGTTCAGGATCCCTGAACCCGAAAATGGGAGCAGGTGCAAGTGCCTCATGCAGAGGCTGAGAAGCGAAGGCGTCAAGGGGTGCCCCAGAGACCTTCATATTGGGGTGAGTCCGAGACAAAGGAGTGGTGAAGAAAGATAAGGGAGGAGAAGGAAAGGATTGACCGTGAACAAGAGGCTAAGTGGCAATGGCATTTGGAGGCGCTCCGGAAGATGGGCTGCTTCCCGGACTATGGCTTGAACCCCAAGGAGAGGGATCCCCGTTATGGGGGTGGCTCGGAGATGAGGAGACCCTCCCCCTTCTAACTCCTGACGAAGAAGAAGGTGAATCCCAAGAACCTGAAAAGGTGTTGGCTGGACCGTGGGATTTGAAGGACGTTAACCTGTTTAGTAACAGTTCATGGACACCATTGCTGCCACGTTCCGGCCGCAAGAGAAGTTAGATGTACAACATGTTGATGTTTCTATACCTGTTCCCAAGTTAATAAATCAAGAACATTTGTTTGAATCACAATCGCCTCATGGTTTATTTGGAAAAAAGGAGAGTCCCATAAACGAACCTTCACAAATGCAGACACCAGAAAGCAAGGTAGCCATCCATCACATTTTGCACTAGTTCTTCAAGACAAAGCTCCACCTATAACAATTTAAATGGGAGGTGATAACAGCATAGATTACTGTGCCCAGATCCATCTTTTCCAAGAAGGGTGCACAAGTCAAAACTGGGCAAATTTGCTTCTGGTAGCAGCAACTGCCTGACTGCCTCCCCCCACCCATCCCCAGTCCAGACAAGCCCTTAAATGAAGCCCTGTTACAACAGAGAGTTCTGTCCCATCCAGAGCAGACTTTCCTCTCAGATTAGATCGTCTTTTGATCTCCAGGTATGAACTGAGCCATATCCTATCCATTAGTGGCCCAGCTAGAGTAAACCTATTAACTTAATTGGATTTACATCTGTCTTGAGTTACCATTTAACAATTGATTCAATGCATCTCCTTTCTGTTGCAGACTACCAATAAAACGCCACTGACCATGGCGTCTAAATAATAATTTAGAGAGGATGATAATAACCTCCTTGGCGTCCGTGGGGGAAAAAAAAAGAGGAGCTGAACACAACAATATGCACCTTGATCGTCACCACTTTTACTTATGAGCAACGCACCTTGGCTTGCCAAGGCATTTTCTTCCCTTTGAAAAACGTCCGCTTGCTGTATTATGGGCTTCCCTCAGGGACTTGAAACTTCCAGAGCTGAGCTGCTAATTGTATGCACAGTATCTCTAAGAAACTGCGTTGTCTTCAAACCGGTTGGTTTGACACTAGAGGAGACCTGCGGTTTGTTTTGCAACGACTTTTCATGTCTCCTCACTCCCAGGAAGGCAGCAGGGCTAGGTAGGCCTCCTGTGTTTGCTAGGAATGGGTTAAAAGCCTGGGAGCGGGCTTGGCTCGGAGGTTTGTTTACCAGCCGGTTTCTCTCCGGCTCAACAGGTTTACAGCAGCCCTTGATGTTCTCCGCGCCTGGAATCCTAGGTGGGGCCCTGCCGTCTCCTCCCCGGGAGCTTTTGTGTCGGTTCAAAAGCACCACCCCACGCCCGCCCATCCTCAGAGACACAAGCAAGGCCCTCAAGAAGCCCTCTCGGGAGGGAGCCCCGCGCCACGCTTTTTCTTTCTCTCTCTCTCTCTTTAGGCTTGCCCCTTCCACCACCATCTCCACAGATTGTTTCTGACAAAATGGTCAGGTGCGGTTTGGCTTGCTGGAGGTGCAGATGGCTTCTGCCCCTTCTCTTGGGCATCGCCATCATCCAAGGCATCATTGCCTTGGCCGGCAGGGGATGGCTGGAGTCGGCCGAGGCGCCCTACGTGCGCCGGGCGTCGCTGTGGTGGGACTGCTTCAAAACCAGCCCGGCCGACCTCAACTGGGGCTGCAATTCCCTCATGGATTACAGTAAGTGTCGGTCGTCATGGGGCGTGGAGGCAGCCGTGGGGCTGCTGTCGGGCTGAATCCTGAGAGGCTCCGAGAGAAAGTCTTTTAAGCTCTGGCCTCAAAGGCAGTTACTACGATCGATATGGGCCCAAATGTGTATTGAAATAACGGCGTGGTGGGAAGCTACGTGGTGTTTTTGTAGAGGAAACGCATGGTTACAACTGGCACAGCGGTGTTGAAATATATCTGGAGGCGTGGGATGACAGGGCGTAGCTCATCCAAAGGTTGCGCTGGCTATGGCTGTACTTTAGAATTCAAGGGGAAAAAAAAAGATATCGGTGTGTGTGTGGAGGTAACGTTGTTGTTAGTCCGGTGCAACGGAAAACAAGCAAGAGACTTGTGGCACCTTAAAGACGAGAAGTTTTATTTGGCATAAACTTTCGGGGATTGTAGCCCAGAACGGTGGTTAGTCGTGGCCTAGGCCCCGGGGCTTCGGGACACGGGCCCTCCCGGTTTTGAGAAGCATTTATTTCGGTCCCGGCGTTCACCGAAACGTTTTTAGCCGTGGCGGTGAGCAAAAGCAACTCTCTTCAGAGGACGTCGTGACCTGGCCCGGATTATAGGGATGATTCGGAACAAACGGAAATCTCTCGGGGTTGGCATTGAAGACGGGCAGAGCAACAGGGCGTGGGGCGACGAGGGAGAGGCAAGCCATAGCGAAATTATTAGGAGAGGAGTAGTAGTGGGGGAGAGAATTAAGGAGCAAAGCCTTTATTTGGTTTCACGTACTCGTTTAAACCAGAAATTTAGTGCGTGGTATAAACCTTGCTGGCTGCGGGAAGAAACAGTAGGAGGGATCATCAAAACAACCCTCAAACCCCTTTGCTCCAGATGCCATGGATCAGATTCCTGGTTACCCCAACTGAATTGCCATCTTTTTGGAAAAATCTGGATCACCTGGAGTTTGATTTGCCATTTGTTTTAAAGTTCATTTGTATGACAGTAATAGCTGAGTGCTGGAAGAACTATTTCTAAGAGTTGTAAATTGTATCTTACTGCTTTGACAGTGCTTTCATGTTGTTTGTTTTTAGTATAATGTTTGTTTGATCCATTTTGGATGTGCATAATTCACCATTGTTGCTTTAAATACTGCCTTTTAATTATGTGAGTCACCTTGGGTCCTTTTTTAAGGAGAAAGGTGGGGTTAATAAATAAATAAAGTGTTCTTGTGGTTTATTAGCCTGTAGAGTAATGTTTGAAATGTGACTTCTGTCACTTCTAATGTGATTTTTTTTTGCAATGAGCAATCAAAAACATGTTTTGACTTGTATAGATAGAAGTTTTAAAGTTTTCTAGCAAAGGTTTCTCATCACAACTGCAATTTAGTTGAGAGTGTTATCCCAAATGGATTCTTGTTCTTTATATTCTGGGGAGAGGGACCATGAGAGGAGAGAGAGCCCAGCCAGACTACTGACAAGAAGACCATACACCAATAATTTTGGATTAAGCACTATTCATGTACCATTTATTGATGAGACATAAGATGTAGGATATCAGACAAAGGGTTCCAAGAGGCCTCTCTTTCATACTTTGCATTCACATAAGATACTCACAAAACATAAACCCCAGGTCTGGGGTGCTGGTCTTTCTGGAACCCACACACACTCTTCACACTCTGTCACTCATAACAAGAGGGGTACCACAGGTAATCTGAACAAGACAATTGTTAATGTGCCTTACAGAGACCATCACAGTCTTCTGGCGTGGCCCGCCATGCTCAGTTATTTCAGATTGAAAGGAGTGGTTTCCTGCTTTCAATCCATCCCATGTTCAGGCTTCTTTCCTACTGCAGTCAGCTTTTCCTACCATCACCGCCTTTTCCAGTGAGTCTCCTTTTATCATGGTGTGTCCAAATTCCGATAACATTTTAGCTTCTGGTTGAGAGTTCAGGCGTGATTTGATCTAGAAGCCATTAATTTGCCATAATATTTGTAAAGGTCTCCTCCAAAACCATGTTTCAAATGGATTGACCCCCCTCTCCCTGTGGGCTTTATCGCCCTGCTTTTCAAATCTGTGTACATAATAGTCAGGAATACCATTCTATGGATGATTTTGCCTTTGGACTTCAGCTACACATCCTTACACTTGAAGATCTTTTCCCACTTCCTTCATAGGTGCTCTTCCAAGTCTCAGTCATCTTCTGATTTATTGTCTCTAGTCTCTGAAATTGTTAGTCTTTAACAATTTCATTTTCTTCACTATTACCATTAACATGTAATTTTTCTGTAGTCATGATTTTTGTCCTAATCTTCAGCTGTAATCTGGCTTTGGCACATTCTTCTTCCTTTTCACCAGAAGTTGTTTCAAATCATTGCTATCTTCTGCCAGTAATATGGTGTCATACGCACATCTAAAATTACTTGTATTTCTTCTACCAATTTTCCACTTCTCCATCTGAATTTAATTCAACTATCTGATGTGGTCCGCATATAAATTGAATAGATAGGGAAATAAAATGCATGCTTGCCTTATATCTTTGCCTATCAAAAGCCATTACAGTATGTTTTTCCATATTCTCTCTTAACAATAGGCTCCAGAGTATAGACACCATTTTAAAGGATGATTCATGGTCACTCATTGTCCTATGCAGTCAAAGGCTTTGCTAATCTATAAAGCACAAATGGATTACCTTTTAACATTCTTTAGTACTCTGGTAACATACATTTGCAATACGTCTTTGGTTCCTCTAACCAGCATTAATGATAATCTTGCAAATAACTGCAAGTAGCAGTAATGGATATGGAAGTTACTGCAAGCTTAATTGCTGTCGTTAGAACTTTTAATAACAAAGCTATAGTTGAAATATGGAGTCTATTTTGGGAACAGACATAGTTGTACAGTATATAATAAGTTCCATTGGTGTGAAGTCAAAGACAGCCTAGAATTTATGGTGGAGCCAGATTCTTACTCTGGGTGCAGCAAACTAGTTCAATTGTATTCACCATCCCCCTCTATGAAGTCCCTAACTGCACTTAAGCAATACATTATAATTACATAATAAAACTGGTTAATAGTGTCTTAATTATTAAGGGCTAGATGTTGCTGTGGATTTGTACTGGAAGAACATCTATCACTAATCCTTCATTGTAGCATTGGACTCCTTCAGTATGTCCTTAGTTCTCAAGCTTTCAGAACCATAGTTTGCTCAGGCTTTGAAATAAGCCTTCTAATGAATGTTCTGCTATGTCAGCAGTGGGGAAAACTGCTTTCTAACTCAGCTTCTATGTGTGTACTTACTTGGAAAGAGACAGAGGGCCTGTCCAGGCTGGCTGTTTTGGGTGTGGGGTGGATCAGGCAACAAAGGATTTGTTGAGATTGTGGGGAGGAGTGGTGTGCTATTTGGTGTGCTCCTCCCATCCGAACAGCAAATGACCCCAGCTGTCAATTAAGCCCTTCCCAGATTGTCTGCAGAGGTTCTTGTTTCCCTTCCGTTGTTCCCTCCCCACTGTATCTGCAGCTATGATAGTGATAGCAGTTGAAAGCTGAGGCTGTTGGAGGTGGCTATCTCCCAACAAAACAACAAGCATGCCTAAAAGAACCCATGCCCTGCTGCTTGGCTAGAAAGGTGTGTGTGGCAGCTCTTAAAGGGGAAGAATGGCTCATTGTACATTGAAACTGTGCAATCAGCAATCCATATACCAGTACTGTACCATACTGTGTTTATGTGCAACCTCAAAACTTCCCCTGTTCAACACAAAGCTCCTTGTCTAAGACAAGGCAGTGGTGTCCCTCTGGTAGTTTTTGGGCAGAATATTTGAAGTGCCATTATGACATCTCTGGACTAAGTCTTATAGGATCAGGTGAGCTTAAGAAATTGTGTAGACTCCTGAACAGTAGCAATAAGAAATCAGGGATTTTACATAGAATAATGATTGTGCGCTGTCCAGTTGATACTGAGTTATGTCCTGCCTTTCCAGATTTTTCCAGGTAGAGAGTATTGAAAAGTGGTTTACCAATCACCAGTCTTCTATGGGTGCTCTGGAACTATGCAGCTTGCCCAAGGCTTCATGAGCTGGTTTTTCTGAAATGCTCTGTGGAGAACAGAACTCTCAACCTTTGACTCCACAACCAGATAGCAGAGTCACTGAGCTACATACTATAGTTGTAAAACTGAGTAGTGTAGAAATAGAGTAATTTGTCTCACCCCCTCTTTTTTTTGCAGTCATGCTGGTGAACAGTTGATTTCAGAGTAGACAAGTACATCTTGATACTATGCATGAGAAACTTGAGAGCCAGCGTTATGCACAGTGGCTGAGTACTGTTGGATTGGGACTGAGAATATCTAGGTTCAAGTCCCCCCACTGAGCCCTGAAACCCTAGTGACCTTGATTAAATTGCCCCATGAGAAATCAGTGAAGGAAAAAGTGCAAGAAAAGGTATTTATTTGTATTCATTACAGTGTTTATTTACTTTACATATATGTCGCTTTTCTCCCTGTAGGGGGGTGAAGATGGCTCACAATCACTTAAAATGGCACAATAGTCTCAATTAAAAGCACTGAACAATATTAGAAAATGATGAAACATGTGACAGTATTAAAACCACCATTAAAATCACTTTTAAAAACTTTTTTTTAAATTCCTGATTTCAATATTGCAGCATTCCTAAAGCCTCCATTTAAGCAAATCACTTTAAAACTTGCCTGAAAACAAAGGTCTTTGCCTGCTGGGGGAAAGGTCATGGTACAGGGATTATCTTCCACTGAATAGTAATAATAAAACTAAAGAGAAAAATACTGGTTTTCACAGAACAAGGAAATAAAGAAGTGCTTTTTAAAAAACCCTAAATTTTAGTACTCTGACTAGTATTGCTATAGCTCTTCAGTTTCTTTCTTTCTCTCTCTCCTCTCTGTGATACATAGAATAAGTCAGTCATACAACGTAAGAGTAATGGCAAAGTAAAATCAGAAGTCAAATTTGAGGTTTGCTGAAATACAAAATGGCTGTGACATGAGTATGAAGAAAAAATATCCACACAGAAAATCAGTAAAATCCCTGCTCATCTGCTGGGCATCTCTTTGAGATGACAAAGAGATTACTTTTATCTGGAGTACTGCTTATAATGAGTCAGAAGAAGATTTGCTCCCGGTCTAGGCTCTAAGGTGTTAATTCTCATCTACTGATGGCATTACTCACAAATCTCTCAATTTTCCTGACAGAGGTTGCTGTTGCTTCCTTGGCTTCAGCCTTGTGTTCTGGGCAGGAGTAGAAAGGGCGGTGACCATTTTGTGTATACCTGGAATGTCAGCCTAAAGCCTAGAAAAGCAAGGATAGCCAAACATTACCATATTTTTAATTATTATTATTTTGATCTCCATTACTGCAGAGGGTGTAGTAGTGCTTGGGAAAGTGCCCGTTTCTATTCTTCACCGCAAGCTGTGGCTCTTTAGGAATGAAGATTTGAGGAGAGTGAGAGGAGCACAGACAAGTAGAATAAAAGAACTGGGACACTTGTCGTATTGCCAAGAGAGTGGAATCCTAAACTTTTTTAAAAAAAAAAGACATAAGGAATAATTTACATTTTGCACACGGCAGCATTTGGGAAAGAAGACGAATGGTGTTGTTCAGGATCTGGGTGAACTGGATTTAAATTAAGTTTAAAAATAAGATTTTTCTAACATTTAAATAAACAAATTGATTTTTCAGAATTTAAATCATGATTTAAAACAATTTGATGTTAAAAATAATGACTTTTATTCACCCTGGTCTGGATGCACCTCTAGGAGCCAAGTTTTGACAGTCAGGACACAAAGTGTTCAGTACCTAACATAGAGGAGCCCTTAGAGTCTGGATGCTCTATTTATTGACTGTACTCTTTTGCAGCATTCCTGATCTTAAGCATGCTTAATGCTAACTAGAACTTTGAATGTTGCTTTAAATCTGTGTTCAAATCCTAATTAGCAAATCTGGTTACTATTAATCATTCTGAAGAACTTGGAGTATTATATACACACTAATTATGTAATTGTTGTAGAGTAGTGTAGTGGGTAGTGCAGCTAACAGTAATGGCTTATTACTAAAACGTTTCCTCTTAGTTTCAGGGCACAATTAAATGGGGGATGTTGGTTCATGCTTAAAAAGTTCTTATCATTGTTTGATGTGATCTGTTATCTCACACTAGAGCAATCCTTCCATTCACATGGTAAACGTTTCTTCTCATGTGAGAAGTGCCCAGAGAGTCTTTTGGATTACTCCAGTTTATCCCCCTTTTGATTTTGATGCTCCCGCCCCCAGCTTTCTTTGCGGCTGTCATTCTATAGGTCGTGGTGACTTCCCTCTTTTTTGTTAAACTGATATAACGCTACAGCAATGCATCAAACTCTGCTTAATAATATTATCATCTTATTATGGTTTACAGTTTATTTTGACCAAACTCCGGGAGGCAGTGAAAGACAGGAGGGCCTGGCGTGCTCTGGTCCATGGGGTCACAAAGAGTCGGACATGACTTAACGACTAAACAACAACAAAATACAGTTTATATACAGTATTGTGCTGAAAGACACCTGCAATGTATTAATATTTCCCCAGCTGCATCAATTAGGGAAATATAAAAAAAGAAAAATGAAAGTAGGAGAGGGAGGGAGTTCTATTCTCCCTTTTAAAGCCACAATCCACAGAATATATCACAGGGTTGTAATCTCAGATAACACTGCCCACAGCTCTATTTTGATGTGAAGTAACCAATTACATGGAGAGCAAATGGGATAATTAGGAGTGTTCCTTATCACACTAAATAAACTTCAGCCTTAGCAATGCACCAGCAAGGAGCTGGATGGTTTGTAAAATGTGTGGAATGGATTGCTCTTAATTGAAAATATATGTGCTTGCCAGAAAATAAGATCAACCAAATCACACAAAAAGTGAGCTATGTAGTGAGCTATATGCCTGTCTGATTTCCCTCTCAGTATACGAAACAAATATGACAGCAAAATTACACACTCAGTAGTGATGTTATGTCCTGGGTATAATGCTACCTGACACTAAAGTCTAATGGTTTAACAATATGAAGATAAACAAATTTGAATCATTGTTTTACTTCATTTGGACTTGTAAATCAACTAAAGCACTTATGAAAGAATTAAAAGAGTTTGAAGAGATGGCAGGTCTGAAAATAAATGATAGAAAGACAAAAAATTTATCTAAAAACATGCAACGTAAAGAAATAATGGCAGGTCTGAAAATAAATGACAGAAAGACATTCGCGCGCCCCCCTCACTGGGTATTTTCAAAAATCAACTAAAAACATGGATGTTCGTTTAGGCCCTCCCTTCAGTTAATCCTTGATTTCTTTTCTTTTTCTTATTTGGAATAAACTTTACAAAAAAACCCCAACCCAACCCCCCTAAAAAAACGCACAAGTACCTCAATGAAAGATAATTATCTGAAACTGATGAAATAAATAAAGAAAGACTTGGCTAGATGGGGAAGTCTACAATTAACAACGATGGGCAGAATTGCAACAGTCAAAATGAATATTTTACCAAAGTTGATTTTCTTATTCCAAAACATTCCAGTGATTCTGAAACAATCAATATTTCAAGAACTTGATCATATTATATATAAGCCTGTTTAGCAAGGAAAGAAACCAAGGATAAAATTAAAATCACTTAAGGATAGGAAACAGAGAGGAGGAATGGGTCTTCCGAATTGGCTGTTCTACCATAGGGCTGCCTCATCAATGTGGATTAAAGATTGGATTTTATTGGAAAATCAAAGACTGTTAAAATTGGAAGGTAATGATTTGAACTGGGGGTGGCATGCCTTTCTTTGGTACAGTCTGGGGGTTGCATGCCTTTCTTTGTTACAGTAGAGTGGGTGACTTTAAAAATTCAGTAACCGTATTTTGAGAGAATCAGACTGAATTCTTGATTAATGTATTTCTCTGCCTCTGAAATAATAGTTTCAATTTGTTGGCTCTCTGAATATAGAGTATTTGAATTAAAGTATGTTAATTAGTTGATACATTCAACAGACCTATGCACTTCTTCTCCATTACTTGTGGCTAAAATCTGCTGAGCTCATTGGCTAAAATAGTGGATGCATAGAACAGGATGTCATCTTTCAGAGTGTTTGTGATAAATGGCCTATGCATTTTGCTTTGTCTAGGGATTTTTGCATCCTCTGCTGATGAGATCTGGAAAAGCAGGCAAGGGCCTTAAAATAACGGGTCAGGAGAAGTCCCAGCAGTCAATCTGTGGCTAACTCCCTAAATTCAATTTATCAGTGGCTTGAGAGTGTGCTCAGCTTTTAAAGTTCGTTTTAAGATACTGAATCAGATCCAGGTCTGATTGCTCTGGGAACTCTAGGGTTTGCATCCTCAAATGCATTATAGCATGCACCTGAAGCCCTAGACCAGTAGTTCTCAACTTTGGGTCCCCAGATGTTCTTGTACAAAAACTCCCAGAAGGCTTCACATCTGGGGACCCAAGGTTGGGGCCCACTGCCTAGACAGTTGAATGGGATCCAGAAAAGCTTTATAAATATGCCTTGTACTTTTATTATGCTCTTTTATTATGTATATTAGTTTCTGCTTACAGATGTTTTATGCCTTTATTTTCTTATATTTATTGTTATATTTATTAAGATCTAGTGTAACATTAGTATTATCCTGAGTAAACCTGTTATAATCAGGGGCACTTGAGGTTCAATTTGTGAATAATCAGCGATACTTCTTTTATTCAGTGATCAGTAAATAAAACAAATGAAATTATTTTATACATCCTCTTTGAAGCTGAGCTACATTCCATACTTTGCTAGCAGTTTAAATTATTTTAAAGGAGTTGTGTTTTTAAAGAGGAAGAGGGAAAAGCAGGGTTTGATGGATGTCCATGCATACCTATATTTAAAATGTTTTCCCTTCCAAACTCCCCACTTTTTCACATTTGTCTTCTTCATAGGTTGGGGGAAAGCTGCTGCTGCTACATATCTTGTCGGTTTTATCATCCTCTGCATCTGCTTCTGCCTTGCAGTCATAGCATTTTCCATCGAAATACTGCGGTTTAACTTCATTCGAGCAATTGGAGGCTTACTCTTTGTTGTTGGTAAGACTGGAAACAAAAACTAGTTCTTAAACTTCTTGCTTCTCACTGATACACCTTTCCCAAAGTGACCTCCTCTTATAATAGAGAGAATTATATTCTCATAGCTGACATTAGACTGGGGGTATGTAATTCAGAAGTAATCAAGATTATAATAATTGGGGATGTATAGCTGAAATTTGAAATGGCGCACATGCATGCCCACTTTTAAGGCCACAAAACTCCAACATCCTTTCATCTTCCTGATTATCTGTGCTATGCAAACCTCCCTGACCCCAGGAATGTTTAGGTAAGAGAAGTGTTGTTCATGTTAGGAACATTGTCAAGCCAATAACTCTCCTTTTGTCTTTATGGACTGATAACAAATACGCTGACTAGCTATCTTGTAACCAAGAGATCCCTCTTGGCTGTTGTGTTTTTTAAAAAGGAACAAGCAACTATTTTAGTTCAAAAACTAATAGCTACAGTTTTTGAGGAGTAGCTTTTCTTACATTTCTATTCCTGAAAAATAACTAAAATATGCACATTATATGCCAGTGATACAAAACACACATTCCTCCTTTCTGCCCCATGGGTACTTCAGTAGTTGACACTTACCATGGACCCTAAGCCACAGCATAAATCAGCACTTCTGCCTTCTTCCTCAAAGGAGAATATAGTGAGGGAACATCTGCCATAACTGGAAAAGTAAATAAAATGGTTAAACTGCAAAATGAGTTATCCTTCAGTAAGTTATGGTTGCAAGGTGGCTTGGTTTCATTTATATAGATTCTTATAAGAGAACGGCTGTTAAAGGTCTTTAAATTTCTAGTGTGGATAAATGGGGCAAAATCCTGTTTGTTCAGTTTGCTTATGTGAACTGAATATTTACAGAGCTTGCACAGTATCCAGTTCGCCCTTAGGTAAGCAGAAGTCCTAGTGTTGGGAGTGTGAAGGCTCTGCAGTCCACACCTGCACAGTGAAGTTTGGGCAGAGATACAGTCAGTGGAGTGTTGCGCTTCTGTGAATGATCAACAGGATACTGCCATAGATGTCTGATCTGTAAACAAAGTACTGAGTTGAAAATTCATATGACTTAATCTACTCTCAGAACATTTCAACTAGAATTGTCCCTTTGACCCAGTGGGATTTTTTATAAGTGTTGGCTTTGTATTCGACAGTTGATCAATAAGTCTACAGTGGTGGGGACTAATATGATGCTGGATGTCGTTTATTATTCCACAAAGCTAAATTAGGTAGCAAAGGTGGGTGTAACTCCTCTTAATCACTTGACAGGGATACAGTTTATACAACATGCCAGTTCATGAATCCAATCCTTAATTGTTTTTCTTCTTTTTGTTTCCATTTAGTTGCTTTCCAGATTATAGGCCTGGTCATCTATCCAGTCATGTTTACTGAAGACATTCAATTGACAGGAAGCAACATGTTCAGTTGGGCATATGGCTTTGGCTGGGCAAGCACTATTGTGGCGCTAGGCTGTGCTTTCTTTTTTTGCTGCCTACCCAACTGGGAAGATGAAGTTTTGGGTAATGTGAAGCTCTATGGATATAATGATGTGGATCGTATTTGATGTGAAGGTGATATAAAATACTGGTTTGAGTATATAAAACAAGATTCTTTCAGCTTTTTTTATCAGGGGAAATCACATGATTATAAATGACAAAATGTTCTAATCATAAACCCAGAAACCTACCAAAAATTCTTGTGATACATTAAAGATTAACAAATATTATTGTGGTGCAAGCTTTTGAACACTACAGGCCACTCCATAGCCCATTGCAGTTTATGCCATAATAAAATCTGTTAGTTTTTAACTGCAACAAGTTCTTGTTTTTGCTGCAAGAGAAAGACTGGGCTTGTCCTTCAAAAATTATTACAAACTCCTTAGTTTCTTCGACATATATGAATTTTCCACTCTGGCAATAGTGTGTATTAAAGGAAGACAGAAGGAGTTGTGCTATGGATTTTGATATCTCAATATGAGTTTCCCATTTTGATAATAGTTTTTATGTAGGGAACAGTGGGTTTGGTGTAGTTTGTTCCTTTATACTAATATCTTAGTCTGTAAATGGATCTCAAAAAAAAGGAACCCTTTTTGTTCTGCAAGACCAAAGTATGCTTGCGTTTTCTTCCATGCTTGTAGTTTAGCCTTTCCTTCTGAAGTAGAGTACGTTAAAACTTAAACCAATTACAGAACAACATCTATTAAAGATGTAAAGTGAACATATGTGTAAGTGATGTGGGCAGTGTCAGAATTCTCAGGGCTACATATGGCTCTGGACATTGAAAAGTAGAATTCTCCCACCCCATTTTTTGTTGATTTAAAAGATCACTTTCATTGCACGTAACTTCTGGTTTTAAAACGTGCCCTAAGCCAAAAACAGCTCAGCCCACACAGTCTAAATCTGGCCAAATTACCATGTTTCCTTTAAAGGATGCAAGGGGTCTTTTCAAGTTAAAAAAAATTGTGATGACAGTGGGTGTACGGATGCTTGGAAGCTCCAGTGGATCCCCACTCCTGATGAATGTGTTCAGCATGCTCTCTTTTAAGCACTGTTTGCTACATTAGCCTATATTAGGACTAGAGCAGCGTTCAGGGGATTAGAGCCAATCAGCCAGTTACTGCTTACTGTAAAGTAGATTCCAAGTACTGTACGTGGATTACAGCATTTTGTATGTACAAATATAACTCACATTGGCATTTTATAGATGTTGAGCCTGCAACAGTTTGCCCTATGTTGTCAGTATCGTTCCAAATAATGTAATATATTTATAATTTCAAAAATGAGAATGTTTAAATCTGGAAGGTAAAGTATAATGAAGCTGTATTTCTACCCTGGCCCAACTGATGTAACGTTATCTTCATCTGATAGACCTTAATAGAAATGCATACTGGAATAAACATTTTTTTCTAAGAATTTTGGCGTATGTTTTCTTTTCTTGAGACCAAAGACAGGGCAAAGCAATGTGCTGCATCAGAAGTCACCGCTACAACGAAAAAATAGGCAAATGCAGGAATTCTCCTCTGTTCTGAAGAATGATCACACTTTGCTTAGTGTAGTAAATTGTACTAGAGCAGGCCCATTGCATCAGTGGGGATTTGGTGAGCCCGTAAGTTCATTTGATTCAAATGGATGTACTCTATGCAGAAGTAAGTTGAAGTAGGCGCATTTGAGTCAATTAAACTTACAGAGGAGCTGATTCACCAAATCCCCACAGATTTAATATGCCTACTTTAGTTTCATGTACTACACTAAGCAACAGAATTTGGGCAGTTAATTTGGATTCATCTGTGGGAAAGAACTGTAAATTTCGTAGATACCCACTAGTTCAAACTGTCTCTAATTAGAGCTATTACTCATCACAGCAGGTTCTGTAGAGACAATTTTTCAGCAGTAGAATAATATATATTTTAATCTGTTGCCATGATCAGTTTGAAGTGAAGGACATTCACAGTGCAATCCTCTGCATGTTTACTGAGAAAAAGTACAAAAGTACCGGGTTTCCCCAAAAATAAGACAGGGTCTTACATTAATTTTTGATCCAAAAAACACATTAGGGCTTATTTTCAGGGTATGTTTTATTTTTTCATGTACAACAATCTACATTTATTCAAATACAGTCATGTCATCATCTGGTTGCTGTACAAGGGTGGAGGGCAGGGTTTTACTTGGGCTTAATTTTGAGGTAGGGCTATATTACAAGTATCCTGAAAAATCATATTGGCTTATTTTTGAATTAGGGCTTGTATTACAAGTATCCTGAAAAATCATATTTAATCTTATTTTAATAATTTAATCTTATTTTCAGGTTAGGTCTTATTTTCGGGGAAACGGTACAACTTTAGATGCCATTAAGTTAGATATAAGAGCATTTGTTTAAATTCCCACTTGGAAGTGGTGGAATCTAAAATTATTTAGATTGTGGATCATCTTGTCTATTGTGGAACAAAGAAGATGAGTATTTTTAGGATTTTAGAGCACTGAGATTTTTAATACTGCAGTAACAATTGACAGCATTTAAGACTGGAGGTACTTCCCACATAGCATTTCAAACACATTCTGACTAGAAAACCTGACTAGAATATACATACACTTTTGTTTACAGAAAATAATTGTGTAATATTCAGTCACTTCTAGTTGATAATTAATGAGTCTGTGCTAGGGTTCCCAAATGGGTGCAAGCCAGTGGGCTTATGCATCCATGAGAATCCCATGAGAACACTCTCATTACTAGTTAGAAGTTACTGAATATTATGCTATTTGCCTTCTGCATGCATAGCAAACAACAAGATTTCATCCATAAAGTGGAACATAGTGCATATTTGGTGAGATGCTGAGAATCACTACATTTTTAGAGCAGAATATTTTGAGAGATAATTAAAAGGTACTGTATTATTATGCATACCGCCATTCTTCCAGGATCCCAGCCCTTACAGCTCAAAGGTATCCTCCCATAGTCATAGAAATTCACTGGAGTGGTGGCAGCAGTGGTAAAACTACTCCATAAATATCTCACGTATGTTGAAAAGCACTATTACAGTCACCATAGTAAGTTGGATGTAACTTTGTGGTATATAACAAAAGCATAGAGGTCGAACATAGGGGATCTGCACACATTAGCACTCCAATTTTTGCACTAAATTAGAGTTTGGAGGAGGGGGCAGCCAATAATTTTAGATCTTAAATGAACAACACAGCCTCGTCTGTCTCATTTTTGCACATATGTATATCCCTGAAAAGCTGGTGTACTGATCTTTTGCTTCTTGTTTACACATTCTCACTCTGAAGCAGAAAGGCATCTTTCGCTGGCCACTTTGGTAAGGAGACACTTGCTAATCATCTTAACATAAGAGTCCCGAAGCTAAACATGTTCAACATTTTCAGCTGTTTTACCAGTCTCTTCCAATTTCAGAAACAAAGAGTTGGAAGATCTTCAAAATACCACCTTGCTCAACCCCCATTTCATTACAGTGTTCATTTCCAAAGCAGAGAATTCTGCACTAGACCCTGGAAAGATGGTGCAAGTCAAGACTTTAAAGTACTGTACTATGCTAGATGGGCAGATAGCCTGACTCAGTGTAAGACAGCTTCTTATGTTTCTAATGTGGGCCTTGCCTGTGGATTACTGGTAAGACCAGTTCTTTTCTCACAGTCATAAAGGGTGTGGTGGCTATGAGGAAAAGTCAGCTTGAGTTTAGGACAGCTGACTAACATCTGAGGAAGCTCCAGACACTATTTTCATATGTCATCAAAAATCAACACTATGCTAGAATGGGCTGATTTTTTTATGACACTACTAAGCCATAAGCCTTTCTGGTCAATGTCCTGTTTTATAAAGGGCCCCTCTGAGGAGGTATTGAAGGGGAGATGTCAGCCATATTGAAGTGCAGTACATACTGCCAGGGTGTCCCTTTGTCCTAGCCATATACTCCACATGCCTCCTGACTGGCAAGAGAAGAAACAAAAATATGGCTGAGCCTTAGTATAAGTGATCAAGAGACAAGTTCTTCCACAGGTGGACAGAGAACCACTGGATGACAAAATAAAAACTGCTTGATTATTTTATTTTGTCTGAATATGTGACAGATCCTCGGGTGAAACCAAGTTTCTCATTAGGAGCAGGCAGTTGTAATTAATTCTTTCAGCAGTAACTAATATGCAACTAAGTAGTAGTAGTAGTAGTAGTATTACACTTTTAACGCAGGATTCAATTTCCTCCCAGGTGACTCTATCGTTTAGTTACCCTGTTTCCTTGAAAATAAGACCTAAACTGAAAATAAGACCTAGTATAATTGTTCAGGATGCTCATAATATAAGTCCTACCCCCCAAATAAGCCCCAGTTAAGTGAAACCCCACCCTCCACCATTATGCAGCAACCAGAAGAAGAGGATATGGCTGTATTTGAATAAACGTTGATTGTTGTACATGAAAAAAAATGAAACATTCCCTGAAAATAAGCCCGAATGTGTTTTTTGGAGCAAAAATTAATATGACCCTGTCTTATTTTCGGGGAAACACGGTACTTTTATAGTTAGTTACAGGAACATGCCACCAACTATTCATTACTTTTAAATAATGAGGAAGCAGTTACCTAACATCAATTGTAATTCTAACCCCTCTGTCATCTCTTTTTGGCAGCAGTTAAAAACAGTTTTATTCCAACTGACTTCTAGTGTTTAATATCTAATTTTAACATAACTAGTTCCGCTACATTTGCTGCCATAATGCCCTTTTTAATGTTTTTTCAAATGTTTCTACTTGTCAGCATCATCTTGTGCTGTCAAGTCAATTCTGACTTATGGTGACATTTTTCAGGGTTTTCCAGGTAGAGAAGACCCAGAAGTGATTTGCCGTTTCCTTCTTGTTGGGGCCATCCTGGGGCTGTGCAGCTTGCCCAAGGTCACACAGTCTGACTCTACTCACAGGAGGCAGGGTGGGAAATCAAGCCTCCAGCCTCTGGGTCCACAGCCAGATACCTAAACCACTGAGCTATCCAGCCAGCTCATAGATTTGCTTCTAGATTTATTAATTCATTTTTATATGATGATTTTTACATTTCCTTGTTTAATACTCTTAAATTGCTTTTTAAACATTCTTGTCTTTTTAAACCATTTGTGAGCCACCTTGGGTCCCACTGTGAGAGAACTGCAGTACAGAAGAGCAGCAAAAAACAAACAAACAAACAAACACCTATATAGTCATGGAGCTGTAATTATAATTAATTACTTCATGGTAATTTTTCAAGCTCTGTGTGATACACTGACCAAGGAAATCAATTTTCAAACAGATGATTGAGATGTTGCAAAGGAATAGTTTATGGTTATTGTGTCTGAAGGAGAGGAATCCCAAAACATCAAAGGCACACAGCAGGTTGCGTGTTCTAAAGTGGGAAAGCATGGACATTTTGCCAACATTGTACGTACATTTTTTGTCAGCTGCTTTGAGAATTTAAAATCAGGATATTTTATTTATTTATTTATTTATTTGATTTATATACCACCCATCTGCCAGCCAAGGCCACTCTGGGCGGTTTACAACAAAAAACAACAGAGCAACAAAATATCAAATCAGAAATCATAAAGTGAAGTGGAGATAAAATTATAATACAATAAATATGATTAAAAGCATAGAAAAATAAAAACATGGAGAATGGCAGTATGATAGAAGTTATATTATTGGACACTATTGTATCAGAGTATAGTTTGTTCAGGGAAGGCCTGTCTAAATAGCCAGGTTTTTAGTAGCTTTTTGAATGTGCCCACTGAGGGGGCCAGGAGGACTTCGGGCAGAAGAGAGTTCTATAGTTGTGGTGCTACGGCTGAGAAGGCCCGATTTCTAGTGGTTGTTTTCCAGGCCTCTCTCGGGATCAGAACTCTCAGCCGCCCTGCCTGTGACGATGTTATAGGACAGGCAGACCTAACTGGAAGGAGGCCAGATATTGAGGTCCCAAACCATTTAGGGCTTTATAGGTTAGCACCATCACCTTGAAACTGGAACGGAAGTGAACAGGTAGCCAGTGTAAGGCGGCCAGAGTGGGGGTAGTATGCTGGTATTTTCTAACCCCACTCGGAATTCTGGCCGCCGCATTCTGGACCCGTTGCAGTCTCCGTAGCAGTCCCAAGGGCTGCCCCACATAGAGGGTATTACAATAGTCTAATCTCGAGATTACCGGTGCATGGACCAGCGTGGTGAGGGACGCGGTGTCAACATAGGGTCATAGCTGGGTGATCGATCCACTTTAGGTGGAAATAAGCAGATCGAATCACAAACTGTGGCAACCCCAGACCTACTGGAGTATCCCACCCTGTAGTTATGCTGCCACCAACCATTCGCTCTACTAAGTCACCCAGACCAGGAATGGATTTTAATAAACAAAAGAACAAGGTTTATTGAAACAACAAACAGGGTAAATAAAAGGATCAGGTAAATAGGATACTGGAACTTGGTATAGTCCCAATCATACACATACAACAGATTGGTTCCCACGGAACACTTTAAGGTAACGCACAGACCCTGAACCTATCAGTTCTGGCTACCTAGATAGAAACCTGAACCTATCAGGTATGTACTATCTGACGAACAGTTGTACCCAGTCTGACACACAGACTCCAACTCCACTTCTCCACATCAGCTCCAAATATATATACAGTACAGCTCCTCCCCCCTGATGTCCCTCCTTCCACTCCCCATAGGATGGAACTTTCCCTCCAAACCCATGACAGACAGGTACCATCAGTGCTGTATGTGACACAAACACTATCTGAGATGTCATTGATAGAAATGGCTCCAAAAGCTACAAACCAAGCTACAAACCTCATCCATGGAAAGAGTGCCCCCCCCAAAAAAGATAGGGAAGCACCCACACCACAGATACTAGGCCCCCCCCCGCAGGATTTCCTTCTTGTCTGGGTATATATATATATTTAATGAATCATAGAAAACCCCAGGTCTCCAGACATTCCTGTTTGGAGTGCAGTCATTTTGCACTGCCATTAGAATCATCACCATGTTAGAACTGCAGAGCTGGAAGGGAGCCTTTGGCCCATCAAGTCCAACCGCATTGTAATCCAGCACAAATTCATGGAATCATGGAATGGTAGAAAAATGCCTTTGGTCTTAATTCCCACTAGCCTCTTTACTTAAAAGTAAAAAAGTTTTTGGTGAAACACAACTTTGCTTACTTTTCGACATGAAATCGGGCCTTCTTGCAGTGGCTCCTCGCCTCTGGAATAACATTCCTCCGGTGATTCGTGCGGCCCCTACGCTGGGCACTTCCAAGAGTCAATTAAAAACATGGTTATACGTTCAGGCCTTCCCTCCTGTCAATATTTAA